TTATTCTCGGGTCTTGCCGGTGATTGCATGCCATGAAAGTCGGAGAGGAAATGAAATCACAACCGCTCCATTCATGAGGCCTTTTTTTAGGCAATCAATTCATGTTTTTTACTCCCTCCGTCACGGTTTAGAAGGCACATTTGAAAATTCTCTGGGACCTAGGTGGTTATCTATTGACTGTGAGATGGGCTAAAAAATAGCATTCACACTACGCATGCATATAGGAATAGTATATCGGAGTACTACTTAGCTACTAGAAATAAATGCAATGCGCCCTAAACCTTGCCTATTGTGGAAACGCACGCAAATTTAATTGTGCCTTCTAAACCGTGATGGAGGGAGTACCATGGACCGACCACGGCAAATTAGGGGTCATTTGACAGATTGATTGCCAAAAAAGGGCCCCACGAATGTCTAAAAACAACTTGATTTCAAACGGCCATTCGTGGTTTTTCTTTTACCGTAGACCGATGTCAACTTATGCAAAGAAATTGGGGTCACTTGACAGATGTCGAAAAACAACTTGATTTCAAACGGACCATTCTCGCCTTCCGTTGCACATGGTTTTCCTTTTGTAAATCTCAGTGATGGGAACATGTACTAAGGACAGGATGACATGCCTGACCTACATACCCTACCCTGGGACACCAAACACCCTGCACTGGACTCCGTGCAACTTGACGGTAACTCGGAAGTCTCTAACCACTCAGAAGTCAACACTCCAGTCGACTGGACCACTTCACTCGGAGTGTAACAAATGCGTCGTAGCTAGGCTCTGCCCTCTAATTCGTACTCCCATACACTACTGTCAGACTTGCACCCACGACACTCATGACTAACCCTAATTTCTGCAGGCAGGTGGGAATGCCCATGGTATGCATCCATGTCAGGTTCGAACGATTTCCAACACCATATGCACGTTGCGACACGTCTGACCATTTATCGGTTTTTTTCACCAGGAAATCTCCAGAAGATGTGAAACTTGTCAAAAACCCAAACAAATGCGCATGGTGCCTAGACTTGGGCATACATGGCCATGGAAAAAATTAGGAATATTTCAAGGATGCCGAGAGGCAATGTGCTCTCAGCCGGAGCCTTCTAGCATATCCGGACACCCCCCATTGAATATGGTCTGGTTTTGGACATCCATGAAATAAACCAACTTTTGCAGGACAGCGGGCATGCCCATGATAGGCATCCATGGCAGGTTTGAATGATTTCCAATATCGTATGCAAGATGCGACACATCTGGTAATTTATCGGCTTTTTTATTAAAAAACTCTAGAAAATGCAAAAGTTGTCTAAAAACCCAAACAACTTGGCAGTGTGCTTTGAATTGGTCGTATAAGGCGATTAATAAAATTGAATCCAGTTGACGGATGTCGAGAAACAACGTGCTCTCAAATGGAGCTTTCTCGCCTACCCGGACACCACATGTGGAACATTATCTATTTTTGGACATCCTTAAAATGAGTCCAACTTTTGCAAGCAGGTTGGCATGCCCATTGTAGTCATCCATGCCAGTTTTGAACGATTTCCGACACTGTATGTATGTTACGACACGTTCGTCCATTTTCGGTCTTTTTTGACCAAGAAAACTCCAAAAAGAAATTATAGGAAAGCAAAATAACTTGGAATGGTGCCTTGAGTTGGTCATACAAGCCCATGAAAAATAATTGGGGTCATTTCGATGATGTCAAGAAACAATATGCTCTTAGACGAGGCCGTGTGGTATATCCAGACAAACTCCGTCGAACCTGGTCTATTCTTGTACATGCATAAAATTATCCCGATCTTTTCTAGTAATTGAGCTGCCCATGATAGGCACCCATGTTAGGTTTGAACGAATTCTAATATCGTATGCAAGTTGTGTCACGTCCGGCCATTTATCGACCATTTTTCACTGAGTAAACTCCAGAAAATGTAAGAATTGTCCAAAATTCAAACAACTTAGCATGGTGCCTTGAATTTGTCATAGAAACTGGTTGAAAAAATTAGGGTCATTTCAAGAATTTCGAGAAAACAATGTGCTCTTAGAGGGAGCCTTCTGGCCACCCCGAACACCTGAACATATGTAGTTTTGGACATAATAACCCCAACTTTTACAAGTAGGTGGGCATGCCCATGTTAAGCATCCATGCCAGGTTTGAATGGTTTCCGACACTGTATGCAAGTTGCGACACGTCCGGCCATTTTCGGTCATTTTTTACCGAGAAAACTTCAGAAAATGCAAAAATTGTCGAAAACCAAAACAACTTAGCATTATGCCTTGAATTGATTATACAAGGCCATGAAAAAAATAAGGCCATTTAAAGTTCATGGATTTAAAAAAAATCAAAAATTTAAGAAAATATTCATGAATTTAAGCAAATGAAAAAGACTAAGAAAAAGAAGAATAAATAAAGAAAAATAAAAAAATAAACCGAAGAAAAAATGCCATTGAAAAAAACACTCGACTGAGAAGATGCACAACAAGAAAAATAAAAGAAGTACTCCCACTGATTCTAGTCTGCACATAATCTTTTTAAATCTTTTTGCGTATTACTCTACCCCTTTTCATTTTCTAGCGATCCTTTCCAGATCTGCCGCCGGTAATCCGTCTCACTGGCAACCTCTCATATTAAATCTGACTTGGAATTCCAAATCCTAGCCAATGGGCATTTGCACGCCCACCTCTCCTTGTTGTTGTTGTTGTTGTTTTTTTCTTTTCTTTTTTGAGGAAAAGCCAGCCTCTCCCTGTTTGACATGCAACCAATCCCGTAAATCTGCCCCTTTAATCCGCTTTACTAATTCCTAGCCATGGGCATGTATGCGTATTTACCTCGCCCACCTCCCACGAGTTTTGCAAATCCATCCAGCAGAGCAGCAATAGCATTCCAAAATCAATCAAAATTTGGACTCGCTTGTATGCGTGAACAGAGTTATGCACAAACTAAATATTAAGATTGGAGGGAGTAACAATGAACAACACGTAAGCTGTCTCAATTGGTTATAGCAGGAAGAAGAAAACCAAGAGATTATGAGTTCAAATCCTACCTCTTGCACTTATTTTTTGAAGATTAAAAATAGAAAAGAAAAATGGGCCAGGCCCATGCCCATGACGGAGGGGTGTGACGGGCTGGGTACGTCTACGTATACATGTCACATACGGAGGTGGGTATATATTATGATCAAATGACCATACTGCTCTTATACGGTTTGTGAGGGGATGTACCGACGCAAGGCTCAACGTAGAAATATGAATTTTGAATTTTGCAAATGGAGATCTCAATGGAGCTCGGTCTCCGAAAGCAGTTTTCGATATATGCGCCTCTATTAAGAATCTTAGATACAGCCAGCCTACAGCTGCAGCGTGCAACTAATCCTCCAGCAGCAAAATTCCCATCACATGGCGTTCCGTCAACACACTTTGAAGCTAGCCGCTCAAATTGGTGACGGGTCCCTTGAACCAGTGCCTGGCACTGACGACCCAGGACGTCAGGACGAGGATGAAGAGCCCGCCGACGGCGACCGGCGTGTAGTTGAGCGTGTCCCTGGTCACCGGGTACATCACCGGCAGCGAGAAGAGCACGGTAATGGTGACCACCCAGAGCACGGCCACCCACCCCAGCAGCACGCCGTAGCGCCCGAGGTTGAAGGGTCCCGGAACGAAGTGCTTTCGCGCCAGCGTCACCCGGAAGAAGATGGGCAGCGCGTACGCGATGTAGAGCCCGATCGTGGCGATGGACACCATGGCCTGGAACGCCACCAGGCTACCCAACGACTGCAGTTTCCAACCGGAGACCGGCCAGGGTTTATCAGAGCAGGATTAATTACACTGACTGGGTCTCTTTCAGTCAAGAGGTTGGTGTATAATTACCGGCAACGCCATGCAGAGGGAGACGAAAGCCGAGAGCCAGACGGCGTTGATGGGCACCTCGTGCTCGTTCACTTTGTGCCACACGGATGACAGCGGCATCGCGCCGTCTCTCGAGAAAGCATACGCCATCCTAGCCATCAAACACATGGAAATAGCGAGATTTCAGATCTAGCTATGTGCCGGTCCAGAAGTGCATGCAGATAACCCAAGAAGAAGATGGTGATCACCTCGAGTTACTTGTGACGGAGCTCATGCCGCAGAAGTAAATGGCGACGGCGACGATCCCCAGGCAGACGATCCCGCCGACGCCGCTGCCGTAGCGGCTCTTGAAGGCCTGGTAGAAGACCTGGGCGATGGCGTACCCTCCAGCTTCATTGTCGGGGCTCAGCAGGGAGGGTATGTCCTTGACGGCGAAGGTGACGCCGAGTATGTATCCCCAGCCGACCACTATCGATATGCCGATGGCGCTGATGATCCCGATGGGGCCGTTCTTGTCTGCGTTCTTGGTCTCCTCCGTCTGCGTGCATGAGCAAAAAGCGTTACTAACCAACCTGTCATAATTTTTAACAAAGTTGCATGAGCGAGATTATTGGTGGCTGGCTTAATTACCATATGCGCCGACGCGTCGTATCCTAAGAGCGTGTACTGGCTCATGAGGAGCCCCAGGAGGAAGATGTAGAGATGGCTGTGTATTCCAGCGCTGTTGTCGGTGTTGAAATTGGTGAAGACGAACTTGGCACTGGCCCTCTCCGTAGCAACAGCCGGCACAGCAATCATCAGGACAAAGACACCTAGTACAAAGTACAAACGATCTAATTATTCGCTACCTTCAATGAGAATCAAATTGAATTGTGTCGAATCAAATTGAACTGTATCGAATCAAATTGAATCGTATCGAATCGAATCTGATGGCGAAAAGAGAGAGACCTACCTAGCATGTTCCAAGCCGCCGCAAACTGGCCAAAGAAGGAGAGCCATGCAATGGGGAGGCTGTTGATGACGGCGTGGCTGAGCAGGATGGCGGCATGGATGGCGATGACCTCGTACTTGGACGCCAGGTACCCTCCGCCGTTGTTGCCGCCGGTGCTCAGCAGGATGATCACCTGGATCAGCTGCGCTAGCGAGTAGTCCACGCTGGTTGTCACTGCCCACTGCAAAATACTCTCTCTCGTCACTTCAGAGTTCAGAGTGAATGAGAAAACACATTCAGACAGACAAAGGTTCAGAGAGTTACCTGTCCAACGATGTTAAACCTGAATGCATGCAATTGCATCGGAGGGAGTAGACAACAAACATCACATCATTAGAGGCTGTCTGCCTGTCTCAAAACAAATAATTGACCGGAATGGTTCTTGTATTGTCCCTAGACTAGAAGAACCATATTGGTTATAAAAAAAATAGAAGAACCATATATACTATAGGGAAAGTATTCGGTGATACCATCCTTTAAATACTCACATGATACCAACTTTCAAACAACAATTTAAAATGTTTCGTGTTCACGAGGTATGTGTCTACGGCACCTAAAAGAATCAGGTTCAAATTCGAAATACCCATTGAGAACCAAAAATGACAAATCTAGCATGAACAGTGTCACAAAAAAGCCAAAAGCAAAATTAACACTATTCACATCTGGATATTATTATTTTTTTCTCAATGTGCATTTCGAATTTGAAGCTGAATTTTTATGGTTTGTAACACATTCCTTGTGAACATTTACATTTTTCTCCGATTTTTTAAAATTGATTTTTTTATTTTAAAAAAATGGGAGCATGTGGATGTGGGAGTTGATATCACTGAATATTCTCCCCATACTAATAGTAGCATATACTACTATCCAAACACCCGTCAGCATCAAATCAAAATCAGATTTTCCCAGCAAAAAAAAATCAAGATCAGATTCTATAGCGTCAATCAGGACTCTATAGTGGCCGGCCACACATGGTCAAAGCACGCAAAGTGGAGCGAGCACATGAACACAAGACAAAGAGATCCACGTACGCTGTTAAACAACGTCAAATGCAGATCCATTTGTACTAGTACACACTGGCAACTTTGATTCCATCTGATTGGATGGAGCAAAGAAAACGATTATTCCAATTTTTATTCCGGTTCTGATTGTCACAGGGTCTGCTAGCTAAGACGGTTGTGGAAATGTCGTTCGACAAAGAAAGAAAGAAATAATGGGATCCTTTGAGCGGTGCACGTGCAGTGCAGCATAGACTCCGTATCAAAATATAAGATATTTTTCGACATTGTTATATTGTCAAAAAAACATTGTTATAATGAATCAAAAGATATTTGCGCGTCTCTTTCTAGGTTGAATCAAGAAGACGCCCATTGAATTCAGCCCCTAATTTTCGCACTCTATTTTCAAGGAGAAGCACGTGCAGTCGCCTCAAAATTCGCCATGTCAGACTTACCCCCCCTCCGAGAAATTCTAGGTTTTTTTTATTTTGAGAAATGGATATTCCAGTATTGCACGGGCAGGACTTAACCACACGTAGTACTCCAATTTAATTCATTCATGGCGATCTGCGAATTGCACGGTCGACTGCAATAAGTGAAGTGATCATGGTAGCTAGCTTACCAGCCGGTGAGCCAGGAGGCGAAGGGGCCCCAGCGGCGCTCGGTGCAGAGCCTGGCGCTCCAGAAGTAGAGGCCGCCGGAGGTCGGGTAGGCGGAGCAGATCTCGGCCATGGCCAGGCCGACGACGATGGTGAAGGCGCCGGCGATGGGCCAGCCGTACACCATGGTCACCGGCCCGCCGAACTCGAGCCCCGTCCCGTACAGCGTCGTGATGCCCGTCAGCACCGACACGATCGAGAAGGTCACCGAGAAGTTGGACAGCAGCCTGCATGCATGCATGCATCCGCAGCGCGCTTAGCAAATTGACAGATCGGCAGGCAGATAAGCAGAGCAAGCACAAAGATAGGTTCGATCTCTGAACCAAATGGAGATGGTGATTGGTGAAGGGTTAATGTATGCCACGTACGAGAGATTGCGCTTGAGCTGCGGCTCGTAGCCAAGCAGCCGGAGCTTTTTGGAGTCGTAGTCGTCGGCGGATATCGCGGCGGCGGCCTCGTCGGCGGCGAGCCGGCTGTAGCTGCTCTGCCCCGCCATTGCTCACCCTCCTGCGACCTGGAGGCCAAACAACAGTCCAACTACCAGTCCGATATCCAGATGCTATCCATCCTAATGACTCATGACACGAGCTTATAGAGAGGGACGGAGAATGCGTGCGGTAAGGTGGGGCCCGCCCGCTTGCCTGTCTGCCTCAGATTCCGTGGAGAGTCCACCCGGCCATGTGAAATGGACGAGGCTTCTCTGACGTACTGCAGGGTGCAGTTGGGCCACTGACAGGTGGCCGGGCCCACCTGTCAGTGGCCCAACTGCACCCTGCAGTACGTCAGAGGAGCCGAGTCCATGTGAAATGGCGATCGCGTGGGTTGGGTGACGAGATCCTGTCGCTCGTGGTGATTTGATTAGCCCAGGCCTCCATGAGATATTCACTCCAAGTGGAGTTTGCCACGTACTCGTAAAGTACTTTCCCTCTGTAAATAAAAATAAGAGCGTTTGGAGCAACTCCAACGCATTGACCTATTTCGTCGGCGTGCGTCTGTTTAGATCGCGGCGGACAGAAAAATCGGTCTAACATGCCGATCCAATCGGAGCGTGTCCGCTTTTCGTCCGTCTGCTGACTCATTCGCGGCCCAATTTTGAGCCTCATTTGCGTCGGCATGGACACGAGAAGAACGTACGCGTCGCGCGCCAACTACACCCCAGGCCCGCCGGTCGGTGGCAAGCAGTCATCTTTTCCCTTCACTTTCCCAAAAAACCTTCCGGCTGCTCGCCATGGACGACACCCTCAATGACACTGACAAAGGCAAGCCCTGTGCCCCCCACAAGACCCTCGTGGCGCCCAAGAACAAGAAGCAGCTGACGCCCGAGCAACGGGCCGCGGACTCGGCGAAGAGGAAGGGGCGGAGGCACGTTGTGTCGGAGTAATGGGCCACGGGTAGCCCAACCCGAGTCCCTGAGCCTTTCAAGACTTTTGGCCGGCTTCGCGCCACAAGACTCCAGAATGAAGCGCCGCCTTCCGGCGGCCGGCTGGCTCAACAGCCGGTTCCCCGAAGACGGCACCAACACAAGCCGACTCCTAGCAGACGGCCTCCGTAGAGGCCGGCTTCAAGCAGGCGGCCACCCGGCGCCCTCAGAGTTTGCGCCCCCCATCAAGAGGACAAGACAGGGTGAGGCTACAGTGTAGTCCCTCAACCCCCGAATCTCGGGTTTGGCGTGGCCACAGTGCCCCGTACAGGCAGAGATCTCCGCACGACGCGGCACTGTTGCCACTCAACCCTCGACGTCATCCCTGTCAGGCAGGGCCTGCTCCCACGACGGCCTGTCGGTACGGCTCGCAGGCGGTGGGTCCTACTAGGCAGCGAGGGCCCGAAGGGCGGCCAAGCCTGGCCAGTCGGATCCAAGGGGATACAGCTCCTGGCGGGCAGCCGGATCCTTCCTCGAGACCTAAGCGCCATTAACCAGACTAGACACGACGAGGCTACAGCGATCTCCCGCCAGGCGGCGGGACTGTAGCCATGCCTTGTCCAACCAAGCCTGCATCACTAGTGTCACGGCTACAGTGATCAGCCACCAACGAGACCCGCCAGCGGCGGAAGCGGCCTGTCGGCTCCGTACCGGACCAGTCGGAGGGGCCCACCAGGCGGCGGGCCCAAGCTGTCGGCGGAGAAGCCGGCGACCAGAGGCGCTGACAGCCGGGTCCTACACCCGGCCAAGTTACCATTGTACCCCTGGGGGGTAGGCCTATATAAACCCCCTAGGACACCCATGCAAAGGGTTCCCAACCTGTTAGAACTAGACTCATACCTAGAGGAGGAAGAGAGCTAGCCCTGCCTCCTTCCACCTTTAGCATACAGCTCAAGGAGCACCGTTGTACTCACTAGTGCCTTAGTGATCATGCGGTGACCCCGCAGAGCAGGACTAGGGGTGTTATCTCCTAGGAGAGCCCTGAACCTGGGTAAAGTGCGTCGGCGTTCGTGTCTACGCCTCATCTCGCTTCCAGGCACCGGCGATGTTATACTCACTCCCACCATGATAAGCCATCCTTTGGCATACGTCGCACCCAACCCCCGACATTTGATGCCCACCATGGGGCAAGGTGCACCGTCATCCGAAAACCTGTTCTGGACGGGAACCTTGTTCCTTCCTGGCGTGCACAGCCAGCCCAGCACGCCCGACGGCGTCAGCTTCGACGCGTTGTGCGGCGCGGAGATCGCATGCGCAGCAAGCTGCCTCGTCGACCTTGTTGGCAAGATCAGCCTCTCCGACGAGCCTGCATCCGACGCAGGCACCAACTGACCTGAGAACCGCCTCGTCAGCGTCCTCGACCAGCTCCATGTCACCAGCGAGCCTGCTGTTGACTTGGAGTCCGTTGGCTCCACCGACCCGATGATCGTCAACTCCGACACAGCGTCGCTTGACGCGTTCCCCACCAACGTGGTGGTCTACGACGAGCCGCCTCCTCGTGAGCACAGCGACAGGAGCACCGTCGCGGAGGTGCTTGTCATCAACAGTGGTGAGCACTCGGACGGAGGCGTTCGAGACCTACTCGACGCGGCGCTACGGGACTTGTCAGCGCCCATCCCGGGAGACGCAGACGCTGAGACGCTGGAAGCACGCCGCGTCCAGCTCATCGAAAGCGCCAACTGACTGGCCAGCATGGGACGCCTCTCGGAAGCCTACCGGAGCGAGAAGGACCGAGCCGTCGGTGGAACGCCAGCCCCCGAGGGGCCTAGCCGCATCGGCTCGATCCGGCAGCGTGGCGCAACCATCGCCAGCATGTTCGGGACGGATCGTCCCGTCTACGCCACGCCCGTGGAAAACATACGAGTTGCCCAGGCGGTGGCAGAGGAGCTGGACAAGTACGAGGGCGACGAGCGTCGCCACATGAGGGAGCGCGTCCAACAGCTCCTTGACGCGGCCGCCGTGCAGCAAGAAGCCGGCTGCCACGCCGAAGCGCCCATCCGGCGGAACGGCGAGCCGCCCCTTTCGCCAGGATCACGGTGCAACATCTCGGACGCCGACTGGTGGCGTCCGCAATAGAAGAGGCAATGAGCCGGCTGCCAGCCATAGTTGGACTCATCTCTCCATCGAGCATGACGAAGAAGGCCGCCCCCGAGCCGTGGAGCGGCGAGGCGACCCGCCTCCTCCTCAGCCTCGTGGAGAAAGGCATCCCACTCCGCCACCTGTCACGCACCCGACACTCGGTGACCGCCTTGGCCGCCAGGAAGGATTCGGGGAGAACGACGCCCGCCATCAGATCGACCGCCTCAATCGTTCCCTGGCACTAGAAGAAGAAGACGCGTTGGGACCGCCTTGTTTCGGCCCCCAAATCCGAGATGAGCCTTTCCCTCGAGGGTTCACCCTCCCAAGAGATACGCCCAAGTACACCGGCTCCGTGGAGCCGGAGGACTGGCTGGTCGACTACTCCATGGCCGTCAGCATAGCAAACGGCAACAAGCGCGTTGTTGTGAGGTACGTCCCGCTCATGCTCCAGGGCACAACCCGGACTGAAGGAAATATGCCCTAGAGGCAATAATAACGTTATTATTTATTTCCTTATTTCATGATAAATGTTTATTATTCATGCTAGAATTGTATTAACCGGAAACATGATACATGTGTGAATACATAGACAAACTTAATGTCACTAGTATGCCTCTACTTGACTAGCTCATTAATAAAAGATGGTTATGTTTCTAACCATAAACATGAGTTGTCATTGGATTAACAGGATCACATCATTAGGAGAATGATGTGATTGACATGACCCATTCTGTTAGCTTAGCACTTGATCATTTAGTATGTTGCTATTGCTTTCTTCATGACTTATACATGTTCCTACAACTATGAGATTATGCAACTCCTGTTTACTGGAGTAACACTTTGTGTGCTACCAAACGTCACAACATAACTAGGTGATTATAAAGGAGCTCTACAGGTGTGTCCAAAGGTATATGTTGAGTTGGCGTATTTCGAGATTAGGTTTTGTCACTCCAATTGTCGGAGAGGTATCTCTGGGCCCTCTCGGTAATGCACATCACTATAAGCCTTGCAAGCAATGTAGCTAATGAGTTAGTTACGGAATGATGCATTACGTAACGAGTAAAGAGACTTGCCGGTAACGAGATTGAACTAGGTATTGGATACCGATGATCAAATCTCGGGCAAGTAACATACCGATGACAAAGGGAACAACGTGTGTTGTTATGCGGTTTGACCGATAAAGATCTTCGTAGAATATTTAGGAGCCAATATGAGCATCCAAGTTCCTCTATTGGTTATTGACTGGAGACGTGTCTCGGTCATGTCTACATAGTTCTTGAACCCGTAGGGTCCGCACGCTTAAGGTTTCGATGACAGTTATATTATGAGTTTATGAATTTTGGTGTACTGACGGTTGTTCAGACTCCCGGATGTGATCACGGACATGACAAGAAGTCTCGAAATGGTCGAGACATGAAGATTGATATATTGGAAGCCTATATTTGGATATCGGAAGTGTTCCGGGTGAAATTGGGATTTTGCGGGAGTACCGGGGGGTTACCGGAACCCCCCGGGGGCTTAATGGGCCATAGTGGGCCTTAGTGGAAGAGAGGACAGGCGGCCAGGGTTGGGCCACGCGCCCCTCCCCCTTAGTCCGAATAGGACAAGGAGAGGGGGGCGGCACCCCCCCTTTCCTTCCTCTCTCTCCCGCCTCTTTCCCCACTTCTCCAAGTCCAACAAGGAAGGAGGGAGTCCTACTCCCGGTGGGAGTAGGACTTCTCATGGCGCGCCCCCTCCTAGGTCGGCCGCCCCCACCCCCCTTGCTCCTTTATATAGGGGGGCAGGGGGCACCCCATAGACACAACAATTGATCTCTTGATCTCTTAGCCGTGTGCGGTGCCCCCCTCCACCATAGTCCTCCTCGATAATATTGTAGAGGTGCTTAGGCGAAGCCCTGTGATGGTAGAACTATTAGAAATATGTCCTAGAGGCAATAATAAAATCATTATTATTATATTTCCTTGTTCATGGCAATTGTCTATTGTTCATGCTAAAAT